AAACACATGAAGAATGGCCCGAAGGATTTGACATCTACAAATTGTATAAGTGTCTTACGATGGAGCTAATTTGGAAATATTGCTTTGGTGTTGACACTGATATGCAAAACAACCCGGATAATCCCTATTTGATCCGATCAGGAGAAGTTTTCGATCTAGAGCATGCCACTCATTTAATGGCATTGTTAGGCATTTTGATACCTGAATTACAACCGTGTTGGTTAGTAATTCATTGTTGGATGAACAATATCAAAACTCGATTACGTCGTCTCTTACCAATGGGAGAAAAATTGATTAATGACGATCCGAGCGAATGGCTCATGGACAATGTCGATCAAATTATCAAACAAGCCAATGAATACGCAGGCGATAGGGATCAAGATAATCCGAACCTCGAGTATGAAATGCCCGTTAACTCGACGAACCTTCTACGCTTGATGCTAAAGGCTACTAAAAATCATTTACACCCCAACAATCAGGTAAGAAGAGGATATTATCTCCTAGTTCGTTTTACTGAAGAAAGAATAATCTCTTGATTTCCCTTTTTTTTTTAAGAAAAGGAAAAGCTGGTAACACTTGACCATTGATACGAACAAGAAAAGGACAATTTGTTCTTCTCAATTTTCAATGGAATAGGGAAATTTGAAATCATTTTCTTTCGAGAACTAATCAAACAGAAGAGAATTGATGAGCGAAGAGAATTGAAATAGAATCATTTACATCATTCTTTCCTTGCACCGATACTCATCAAAACGCTAATTTTCTATGATTTTGCAGGGTAGCATTGATCACCATACTATGACTTTGAACGAAGTCAAACAAAATATTTACTTATTCATGATTGCTGGATACGAAACTACAAGTACAGCATTGGCTTATGCTACTCATGTCTTGCTCACACACCCTGATGAACAACGGAAATTACAAAAACACATTGACTTGCATATATGTGGTGATGTCCCACTGAACGATCAATTGCTTAAGAGAATGGATTATCTCGATCGGTTCGTTCGAGAAACTCTCCGAATGTATCCGATCACGCCCATTGTTGTCAATCGGCAATGCAGCAATGATATTGATCTACCCAATTTATGTCGAGTCCCAAAGGGCACTAATATCGCTCTGGATATGTACAGTTTACACTTTAACGAAGAGCTATGGGGTCCTGAAGATCCGAATAAATTTTATCCGGATCGATTCGGCACTGAACGATGTCAAGTGGCATGGATGCCCTTCGGTGTAGGACCGCGCGCTTGTATCGGGATGCGCTTTGCTCTTACTGCAATCAAAATTACATTGATTCGTCTTTTGCAAACCTATACCATTCTTCCAGCACAGGAAGCTAGTCAGAAATTGGAAACGGTAGAACTGGTTACTATTACTCCGAAGAAATTGCTGATTCGATTGGTGAAACGAACAGAAATATCATAGCATTCTGTATCAACATTCACTCTATTCAGAAATAAAACACTCATAATATCGATCTGCCGTAAAGATAAAATATACTACTATAGAATCCTCCATGTGTCTAAATTTTCCTTGATTTGAGTATGCTTCTTATTGGTGGTGATATTACTGATGTCTATAAAAGAAATTTTTATTTGGCTTCGGTGAATGACGAATGTGCGATTTGATGACTCGATGAATATTGCAGAAAACTCTTTAGGTACGCAAATAGAACTGTGCACTCTTTTTACCATTTGTGTTCAAAGCGATGAAATATTTCGAGAATTTCTTTTTCATTTTACATCACATTCAGCAGCGCCAACAATAATCGAAGTCCATATATTCGATGAATGTTACCGTTATCCTTAGAGTACTGTGGACAGAAAGAAAGGCTTTGCTACTTGCTACGTATTCCATTTCCATCGGACTCGCTTATCTATTTCGCCTTGACATAAAAAACCACGAAAAGTCGAAGTTCGTTGTTGAAAATATAAACCAAAATGCTTGAGTGTGGGGTGTCGGTGTGCGGAATTGAAGTGGCGCACCAACACTTGCATCACACATTTAGACACGCTGAGGTATGATACCCTCGTTTAATTGTCTATTTTTTCTATTTCATTTGATAATTAGTAATTTAATTCCTTTTTAGCTTTCCCTATGACTGATAAAAAAATAGGGGAAAAGCAAAATGCTATATATAAGTGATTCTGATGTCTATTGTACCAGTTTTTAAAAAATGATCGAAAGAACAAGTGAGCGGCTGCACTGAAAAGCATTATCAACGTATAGAGAACACTTTTTTGTGCAAGAAAATGCTTGTGGGTATTGATCTTCTATTCTTCTACACCCAGATTCTGCCCCATAGTCATGCAATGTTTTCAACACAGATTATAATTAATAATATATTCAGATCTTCAACTAATAGACGAGACACTGCAAACTGGTAAAAAGTTGTTTTGTTGTATTTTCGATCGTATGTTCTTGAGGAATGACTGAGAGCTTCGATATTTACAACTTAAGTTGTACTACGTATTTGATTGTAATAGGACATGGGCTTAATATTATATCACATAATTGAATGCAGCAATGATATTAAAAATGACTCATATATTGAATAGATGAATATTTTATTTAGAAATACTTTCTTGATTTCATTTCAATAATGAAAAACGATATACTTAGGTCTGACCAAAAGTTCTGCAATTTAAAAAAAAAAAAAGTTAAAGAAAAAGAGAAAGTTTGAGTTTTATTTTATTAAATGTTCAAAATAGTCCCCATGATTATTTATACAAAGTTCCATCCTTTCCAACAGTTTGTCGAAAGTTTTTTTATATTCTTCTTCAGGAATATTTTTCACCACCTTGGATACCGCACAAGCTAATGATTTTTCATTTGGTTGATCACTTAAATTACACTTGATGTAATCATTTAGCCAATAATCACATGGTGCAAGGTCAGGTGAATATGGTGGATGTGGCATTATTTTGATACGTTGTTCTGTTAAATAATTAATAACATCAGAATGAGTGTGGGGTCGAGCATTG